GGTCCAACGAATTCGTGTTATCACCACACTGACTACATACATATCTATGGAGCTCAATCTGCCCGCCTCCATTGGGCTAGATCGCCGTTGAATATACAAGAAGGTTAATCCACCCTTTAGTAGGTGTTGTGTCTTTGCCGGAACTCAATAAAAGAAACTTATTAGAACCTTCTCCACACATATAACGAACGGTTCAACAACAACATTGTTTGCTTGAAAGGAAACACATAGAAGTTGGTCATCATAGAATTGTCCTTAACCCTGCCTTAGTCACCTCGCATTTCCAGAAAATGGATATTCTCCTGTCATCTGCCTCCCACGATAACGGAGCTACAATTTCGCAACACCGCTTGTTACACACCCACACTGAACTAGGATATTAGTCGTAGGGATCAAAAGAAACAAGTCCCCAAATAGGTCTTACGAGTACTTTAAACATTTAGTGGGTAACCAAACACCCCATGGGACTAACGCATGGTCAATAATGTTAAAATCAAATACGATTAAAAAATAAATATATCGTTTAATTAAATATAATGTAATTATATATAAACATTAATTGAATTGTCCTTGAGAACACATGGTGCAGGGAATAAAGGCATTAGTTAGATCCAGTGACAGGACCCAAAGAGTGTGAGTTCAATACCCGGTTAAGGAACTTGGAGAGGGGAATTAATAGGAGATAGCTGGTAATTGATATCCATTAAACATGGCACGTGGAACTAGAAAAGTCTACCCCCAGTGAGTGAAATAAAGGGTCCAGTTCGACATTCCAACCACCTGAAGAAGGCCGGAGCATACAACGGCCGAAACGTTGTGATAAATATGACGACAAAGTTGAGGACAATAATCTGAATAATGTAAATAAGTGTACATAATACCTCGTCTCAGAAACATAGACAGAAAATGAAATTTGGTTTATCGTTATATGTTTTTTTTATTATATTTCTTATTGTTCCCAAGTTCATTAGTTACACTTACGCTATGCCTTGTCAGTATCTTACAAATTATTCCATTTTGATCACAAAGAAAAAACAGAAAACACTGTTTGGATTTCGTGAGAAAAAAAATGGTAGACAAAAAGAATGGGAAGACAAATAGGATATAACACATTCTTTTGTTTATTGAATTTCTAAGCGCAGCTGTGACACAAGGTCGAAAGTATGGGGCACCCAGTGAGGATCGAACTCACTATTCAGTCATAACTGTTTTAGCGAGACAAGTTTACTAACAATTGAACCACGTCCAGGTGCCCCAATCTCGTGTGTTAATGTTTCCACGGGTGTATCAAATTGCGCTTCCAGACAGAAGGCAGCCGAGTCATGTAAACTTTGCTGCTTGTTATCGTCGCGTTGATGCGACGGGATCCGTGGTACGACAAAGTAAGGATCAAGAAAGACCGTGATCCGCTCGTACGCCTGACCACGAAGAACACATTCTACAGGCTCTCAGAGACCATCCAGGTATTAGCACACGTCAAGTGGCTCTCGCATGCCGTATATCTCATATTACCGCATGGGGGTACTTCAAGATCAGCTCCTGTATGCATATCATTTGTAACCTGCTCAGGATCACTCACCACAAGAGAATTTTTGCCGATGGTTTATTTGCACAACACGCTGATCCTTTGTTTGTCACTTCAGACTTGTTTACGGATGAGGCAACAATTAGAAGAGATGGAATCTCTGTGGGCGAATCGGAATCCCCATGTTACAATACAGGCTAGACACCAGCATCAGTTTACGATTAAAGTGGTGGATGGAATTGTAGGTGACTGTCTGGTAGGTCCATATGTTCTCTCAGCACGTCTTAGAACAATGGTCTACAGGGGCTTTATTTCGAGTACACTTCCAGACCTGACTTGAGGATGTATCCCTGCTAATACAAAGACGTATGTGGTTCATGCATATTGGGGATCCAGCACATTTTAGTCACATTTGTACCCTCTTATATCTTTAAATAATGACTGGCCTTCATATTTATGATTGGAAGAATATGATAAGATAAATTTCTATATATCAGGACAGTGTCAGGCAATTGAATAACAAAGTAAACAAATACTGTGTAATGCGTTTCGTTAAAGGACGAAATACGTTACACAGTTTTTTTCCATTTTGTCTTTCAGTTAACTAACATTTATCAATGTTTTGTTAATGTTCTTGATCTCAAATATTTAAAGATGCGATAGAGGAATTTCTACAGATATTTTATAGTTATAGAACTCGCAAGTAGATTATTCAGCCATTGACTTAATAATTATGATTCACCAGAAAATTCAAAGAGGAAACTCGTGAAAATTTCTCGTGTCAGAATAATTAAAATTAGAATGTTATTATGAAAAGAACGGATTTAAATATGAGGTTAAGTAAAAAAAAAATATCTACACTTTCGCCACACCATATGTTTAGTTTTGTCACATTGCCTTATGCTCTTGCATACTTATAGTTGGTATCATGGTGGTCACGTGGTCGAAGTCTTAGTTTGATCACGCCAGTTTTCTTGTTGCTGTTACAGTGTAAACATGGCCGCTCCGTTAGTAGTGTGTACATTTTCAAGAGGTTCGTTTTTTTGTGGGGAAAATCTTGTAATACTAT